TCTAAAACGGCAGCTTTTCGCACTGATTTATTGGCTATTTTGAAGCAAGTCTCATCAGAACATCGAAACAGTTAGAAAAGGGGGCGGAGCCACTAAACCGTTCAATCTTCCGTCCGTCCGCCACTAGACTGCCTTGTGCCTTGTGTGGCCACGGCCTCGCTTGATGAGTCTCAACTTTTTGAGGTTCGGTCCTGTTTGAGCCGTTTTTTTCGAGTTAAAACGGCCGAATGAGAAGGCAAATAAGCACCACGCGACTAAAACCGCCCAATTACATAAAATTTGAATTGCTAAAAAGTGGCCCTTTTAGGGAGGCGCGCGCGTCCTGAAACAATGACTCACTTCACCCTTGGCTAGATCTAAGGGTCTAATCAGCACTCATGAATACCTGAATCGTTTTTTCTGGTCGTTTGGGGTTTGCTTAAAGGGATATTGGTCGTTTTGATGTTTAATACCTTCATGATTCTTGCGCCGTTTTTTGCGCAAAGTGAAACAACAGTAAAGACAATGAACAGCAACAAGACGCAAATAATGAATGACAAGATTGAATGAAAGTGGCCACCTTACTGTAAAATGCTGATGGTTCTTTCGCATTAATTAGACAATAATCTGTTCGACATGGAGGCAAACGTAAGCTGATACAGTGAATAGGAGCCGCTTTAATTAAAAACGCCAACTACCCATTGTTTTTTCGAATTAGTAGAGCAAATTGGCAATTAAACTTTGGCTGTTAAGTTTTTGCGCCATCCAATTTGTTTGGAATTTGCAGATAACTTACCAAGGTGTGAACCGGGTCGAATCCAGTTGGCAGGATTTCTCTAGTGACAATGAGAAATTCTCAATTTAGGCGGCTTGATGGCGTCGTTTGCAATAATTTATTGTGCAAGTCTAATCATACGGGCCTTGCGTAATTCCAGGCAATAAAAATTCAAATTTTGCATGTTCCTGTGCCACTAAACAAACGGCATTAGTGTCATATTTAGGCAACGTACACCTTTCTCCCTTCTTCGGTCGTCGAAGGGCCGGTCGACTTAAAAATTTGACTTTCAAAATAGCACCAAACTCACAATTTCGTGTATCGTACAGAATCGGACTGGGAACCATTTTCGTCGTCTTTGCATCGAAAAGATTCGCAAATGACCACAAATAATCGTCCATTATCCGGCTGGTACCAGCTCGAATATTTTGCGTTATTGTATCCCGCGGAGTCATTTTCTTTTTTAATAAAGAAAAGCCCCCCTAATGGCTGCTCCCGACTACTAACCGCCGAGAAAGTACAGAGGAAAATCCCGTATCTTTATCGCCGCGCCCCAAAATTGTATTATCGCTAATGCTTCCAAAACGGCTTTTGCATAAAAAAGACATTCGTCCAGGAGGGGCGGGGCGCGAACGGAGCCCCCTTGATTGCTTGTCATTTGTTTAAATGGCCCAATCTTGATATAGAAAAAGTTACTTTTAAAGTTCCGTCGGCTCAACGGGGATTAGTATTAAAAGTTTCCCGGGTCCTTTTTTTCAACGCGAATTACCCGGGATTTTGCACTTGTTGCGTCTGGGGAAACTTCTTGAAATAATTTATCAAAATAATATTTTCCTCCGGACATTTCAGGTAAGTCGAGGAGTGTGAAAGTGAGAGAAAAGTGGGAATAAAGGCAGTAAAATCAACAAGTAGAAACAAGTCGCACAATACAGATGACACATTGGCAAACAAAAAGCGTTTTAGAATTTGTTTTGCGGTGTTCTGAAGCTGCTACGGGCCACAATGGCGTGTTATCGATATCTGTGGGGCCACGGGTGGCCTTTTCAGCCACCCGATTAGTATTAAAAGTTTCCCGGGCCCTTTTTTTCAACGCAAATTACCCGGGATTTTGCACTTGTTGCGTCCGGGGAAATTCCTTGAAATAATTTATCAAGATAATATTTTCTCCCGGACAGCTGAGGCAAATCGAGGAGTGTGAAAGTGAGAGAAAAGTGGGAATAAAGGCACTAAAATCAACAAGTAGAAACAAGACGCACAATACAGACGACACATTGGCAAACAAAAAGCGTTTTAAAATTTGTTTTGCGGTGTTCTGAAGCTGCTACGGGCCACAATGGCGTGTTATCGATATCTGTGGGGCCACGTGTGGCCTTTTCAGCCACCCGACACCCGGCACGTGCCTACCTGGTCACTACGACCACCTGATAGCGCACGCAGCTGTGTGAAGCCCCAGCAACTTTGTATGCTTCCGTGCGGATGTTGGTACTGTTTCTTTTGGGGTGAGTGAACGTTGCGGGGTTGCAATCGCAAGCGAACTTTAGTCGGGAATTAATTAAGATGAATATCAATCATCCGTGAACGGGCCGCGAGAAAAACCAGTCGAAATCCGCGATTTTTCAGCCCAAAAAGCCGGCGCTTTTTTAGTTTGAGAGCCGAGCCCGAAATTTCCAAACAGTTTCCCCCATTGTTCGCGCGAAAGTTTTTCAGTCACGTGCCACACACTTTTGATAAATTGAATCCGTGAATGCGATTGTGTGTGTACATGTATCGTGGCTTTGTTTAAATTTGTCTGTTATTTTTGCCACAAAAGCCGATTGTTTTGGGCCGCCCATGCGAACGAACAAAACCGGTTCTGGATATATTATTTGCCGGATTGTTTTGTCGAGTAATTGGTATTGTTTCCTATGATCTGCCGCTTTTTGCCGTCGCTGGAAGGATGGCGTTTTATCTGCTCCCGATTTCTCTGTCTGTTTCCAACAGTCGGTTTGTCATAACGCGGCTTAAATCGCTTGACGCAGAAAAGACGCGAAAAGATGTAGGTTTGAGACGAAAAAATGTACAAAATGTGTCTCCCGTCTCGATACGAACAGGATTGGTGACCCTATAGGCTTGTGCATATAATTTTCTTTGCAACAACAATTAAAGACAGGCAAGAGCCAGGTGGAAAATGTTGTTAAGGTGCTAATTTTAAGGAAAATCAAATTTAAAATCGAAATCACTGGAAATTATGAAATGGGGATGCAGTTTAGGGGTTGAAAATGGGAAAAGTTGCAAATTTCCAGTAACTGAGGCTCCCGTATCTTCTATGAACGGAGAAACTTGCAAGTTTATACTTGTTTTAGTTTGGAAATTACGATCTTTCAAACAGAAGGTGATCTTTTTGAAACGCTCACTTTTGCGTCAAAGACTGCCAAGGCGTAGAAAGGTCAAAATCGACAGTGATTTTATTGTAATTTTCAGCCGATTTAGATTGAAACGTGTTTTAACAACTGAGAAAATTGCAGTCTGTACTTGCTCAAGTTTAAAAGTTACGATTTTTTGTAATAGAAAATTGTTCGTTCGAAACACTTTTTTTCGAAAGAAACGAAACATTTTTTTTTAACGAAACACAT